ACCCTGGAGTTAGTTGTTAAGCTTTCATGTTACTTCCTCATACAAACTGCTTCTCTAGTACTGCGATGTTTTATTGGTTATATTCATGCAAACTGAGCTGAAGTTGCAAGGCGCGAAGATGCTGGCCGCATCATGCCGCACCGCATTCCCAAGCCAGTATGCACAACTCTGAGAAAGTTTGCAGTCTGTATTGTTTTGTTGTGGCACAACTCCACGTAACTCTGCACATTATAGTGCATAGGAGCAATTCTTGCGCAGAAGTCCAAGTCGACTCAAAAGCATTCCAATTGGACTGTCTGGCTTGATGTAATGTTATCAGGTTGTTTATCGTAGCGCTTTGGCGCACCCAACGTGGAATGTTGGCGCCGGAATGTGCAGCTGAACTCCTGCGCTATGAACCTGAACCAATGGTGCACGTTCCCAGCCATGGACATTTTGACAGAACACCCTTGTACGTTCTGCCATTCTAACCACAGCATTATAATTTGTTGCTGTGGCCGTCCTTCGAACATAACAGTCCTTCCCCCCTTAGGACGCGCGATTTGCAATAGCAGCCAGTGTGCAATTAGATACGTAGACCTCTGTGATGCGAGTTCTTCCTCAGTCGAGATCCGCTTCAACGAGCGTTTGTCGCTTCAGTCTGCTTCGGAACGAACACAGCCGGGCGGAATTTGACGCTAGAGGAAGTAAGCCATAGAGCAAGAGAAAAATATCTCGCGGAAATAGAAGATAACCCTGGTCATTCCCCTGATTTACGCCTAAAGAGAAAGCCGATATTACAGCACCTGTGTAAACGTAAGGAGTAGGTTTGTAGCTGGCAAGGGATGGGGATGGGACCCTGGCTGACAGCTTTCGGATCTGAACACAGCTGCAGGATGGGGATGGCCCTGGTCGAAGGGATTGGGAAGGGACCCTGGCTGGCAGGATGAGGATTGGGGGAACACAGCTGCAGGATGGGATTGGAAACCCTGGCCATAGGATTGGGGATGGGACCCAGGCTGGCAGGATGGGAAACCTGTCTCAAAGGATGGGATTAGCACCGGGCCCCTAAGATGGGAGATGGGAGTCGGTCACCCCAGCCAGGATGGGGGGATGGCTGACCACTACCACCCCCCGGGATTGGGGGATTAGACCGTTTTTGCAACCCTCTGGTGGGTGCGTCTCGTTGCAGGCCAAGCAATGCATGTACAGTACTTGTCGCGTCAGTCCTCAGCTCACTTCTTCTAACGAACATCAAGGCATATGTACAAGGACCACGGGACACGCCGTCCTTGAAAGGAGCAGCATACCACCCACAGCAGCGTCCATGTCACCGACACGGCTCTGAACGACTTTTCTGTTTTTATGTTTAATTAAGTTTGTGTATGTTATATTTTGCGTAAGTTTGTAATTTGACTTTACTCTGAACAAGGTGCTGTATGTGTTGCGCTACCAAAACTTCGCCAAACGCTTCCTCTTTCCGCGGCCGTTTTATGAGCCCCGTTTTGCAAGCTACGTTGTATGCTTTCAGTTCTTTCAGTTCAGGCAAAGCAGCCAACCACATTTCCGGCCTGCATGCCCCGTGCGACTGTGGCCAACATGCCCTACTGCACAACACGCTGGCACACCGCGGCCTTTCGCCCAAAAAAATTACATACACTTGTACACGCGCATTTTGAGAATCGCACGCGCGCATCCGTGTGGCAAAATTCGCTCCTGGCTTTTGGGGCGTCTTGTACGGAGTGTTTATTCGGCACAGATTGTGTGAGGGGCTGCTTAAATAGGGGGTTCCTTGTGAAGCAGCTGCCCGCGTTTCCAAAGCACGTATGGTGTTGGATTGTAAGGTGCCCAAGTACGTTTGCGAGGAAGAGAATGTGGCCAGGCTGGAGAGGAAAGTGCAGTGGCATATTGGAATGTGAGATTAGCGTAAGCGAGTTACAGGGCGTTTTATTGCACGGGCGAATTTACGTGCAAATCTTTCACCGTAGCATCAGTCCTCAGTTCACTTCTTGGAACGAAGATCAGCATAGGTGCAAGCCCTCTCGCTTGGAGGGATATGCAAACAAACATCCTGATAGGGGTAAACTCGCACGCTACCGAGCATTCAACCGAGCACATGCATGCTTAGTTGAATGGTGAGATGAGACCCCCCCTTCATTTCGTGCTCGGCAAGCCTGCCACCGCGTACCGGATATGTTGGCGATGTTATAGAACGCTGCACCTTTGATTCTGTGCGCATTGCGTACGTTGCTCGACCCCGCCGACCAAAACTACACGTGCCCAACTGAAGACATTCCCGGTGGTTGTGCAGCAGCTCTTGAGGCTGTTGCTGGCTGAAATCCATCCTGAGCTGTTGCAACACGGCTAACGCGGGCACGTCCCTATGCACAGCAAATAGCTGTTCCAAGCCAACAGCGGCGTCCATGTCACCGACAAGGCTCTAAACGTCTTATCTGTTCTTATGTTTAATTAAGTTTATGTATGTTATACTTTGCGCAACTTTGTAATTTGACTTTACTCTGAACAAGGTGCTGCATACAACTGCCTCTTCGCCAGCGCTTCATCTTCCGCGGCAGTTTCACGAGCCCAGAGTTGCAAGCTACGACGTTGGCTTTCGGTGCTTTTGTTACTGCAAAGCAGCCACGCAATAGTCCAGCCTGCATGCCGCGTGCGGCTATGGCCAACATGCCCACCTGCGCAACGCGCTGGCGCACCTGGTCCTCATCCGCCAAGAAAATATATATACACTTGTACAGGCGCATTTTGAGAATCGCAAGCGCGCATCTGCGCGGCAAAATTCGCTCCTGACTTTTGGGACGAGATGTACGAGAAGTACGACCGGACACATTTGTGCGAGAGGCTGCTTAAACATGGGCCAGGGTGATCATGGCCTGCATTGTTGCATCATGGAATACCATGCGCAATATGACCTGGTCATGTTCCACATATTTATGAGCAGGTCATGGGGTCATAGAGGGTCTTTCCATTGGCTGGTCGTAAATTTCCGTAGATTCTCCTTAGGGCCGGCCGGGCCCGCCGCACCTCCTTTTTTGGGATTTCTAGCACCAACTGATAATTTATATGTAAAGGAATGTGTGTATGTAATTTTGGCAGCGCGAAGTGCCCCATGCGAGAAGTTGCCGGACGGCCAATGGAAAGGGAGATTTCCGTAACTTTTCCATCACACTCGCTAAGAAATACTTAGCTAGTACATGCTCCCGACCATGTATTAAATTTTCGACCTCGCATATACTCCTCACATTTGTGTGAGCTGAATAGCCAAATATTAGGTGCGTTGACCAGTGCAGTCGCGCCCCTCGGAAGCGACAGGCGACAGCTACGCAAAATCAGCGAGTGCGATTTCCTCGTGAATGTCATTCCAAGGAAGTCCTGCCTGTTACCTTGGAACTGATATAGATGACGAGGCTAGTTTGAGACAGCTTCGCTTGCAGCATGGCCATGTGGACCTACAGTCGCGTCAACATGCCTCGCGTCTACCGGAGTACCACCATGAGATGCATAATCAAATACCATATAGAAGACTTAACCAGGTCGCGTCCCAGCACAACGCGACGCGTTTGCCGACGGTGGCCATTGGGGCGGTCGGACCCGCGGCCGGCACTTTTATGCAAGGGGCCCACGCGGCAGCCACCGGAATTGTGGGGCCCATGTCACAGCAGGTGTGGGGTCCCGTCATCTGCAATGCGCGCCAGGGGATGTTGTCCTGGTTTGCTGACGTTCGCTGACCCCCGTCTCCCCGCCCCCTGCAGCTGATGGGCTTGCAGCACCATGCGGGCCCAATCCTGGGCTCCTTGGAGGGTCAGAAGCACATGACGCCTCTCCCTCCTTGCGCCACGGTCCGGGGCGCGGGCTTGTCCCCCCTTACCGTCGGGTCTCTCTCTCAGCAGTTCAGCAACCTCACACAACCCGTACTGTCACAGCCCCGTGCCGCAGGCGAAGTCGACCCTCGCGGCCCACTAGGTGCAGGGGTGACTCCCAGACCCCGCAAACGCGGGATTCGGAGTGGAGAGCCTGACCCCAGCTACACGCCCTCAGCCGTGCCCGTGGCCTCTTCTGATATGGGCGAGCCAGCCAAACGGCAACGCAGCAAGAACTGGGAGGAGCCTGAGCTCAAGCTTCTTGGGTACCTCATGTCAGGCATTTGGAATACGTGCAACGCCACGCACGTCGCTTTCAAGCCCACCGGCAAGAAGGTCAGAGCCATGATTGAGGAGCAGGCGCGGTCACACGGGTTGGGCCACCGCAGCGTGCAAAACCTACAGAAGAAGGCAACCTACAGAAGAAGGCAACCGAGATGCTGGACTGCGCCAGGACGGTATGTCGGCTGCCACCATCTTTCCCGCCCCTGGCGGCAAGGCTAAAATGTGTAGGTCATGAGACTCCAGCTTTCCTGGGGATGCAGGTGGCCAAGTACACGCACAAGAAGACGGGCTTCAACTCCCGTACCATCTGGCAGCATGAGAAACGCGAGATGATCATCAGGCAACTTAAGCTCCCGCCCTGGTTCACGGAGACGGTGGGTTGGGTGTGTCGTCCACACTCATGTGAATGCCACTTGCTCAGTGTTTCTTGCCGTGACGCCCCCTCATCGCCCCGCATCTATCCGTCCCAGAAGTACCCATCCCGGTCACACACCGCCTGACAGTTCAGAGTATAGGCCCCCTTTCGCACACAATAGTAGTCCTCAGCGAAGTCGACCCGGGGGCGATTGACAGGCACGTGAGTGCCATCGATACTGCCGATACAGCCCACCAAACCATCCAACGCGAAGCCCGCCGCCATACTCTGGGCGCGGGCTGCGTCCGGACGCCGGATGAGGTTGCGCATGTTCTTAACTACCGCAACACAGAACTTCTGCACAGCCTTACACGCAGTGGACTCGGCCACCCCAAATGCGTCCCCGGCGGTGTCGTAGTCGCAACCCTTGGCGAGGTAGTACACCGCCGTGCCCACTAACCGTTCTACTTCCAGCGGCCTCTTCAGATTGGAGCCGACACCCGCAACATCGTGCCTCAAGGTGTTGCACAACAACGTGAAGGACGCTTGCGTCATCCGCATCTTCTTTTCCCATTGCTTGTCGGTCCACACCTGGTACATGTACCGATCGTATGTGTCCGTGGACCTCGGGAATGCGTACCAGGGGCACGTATACATCCTGAAACTGTGTGGATGCGCAGTGACGATGCCAGCGAGCTCTGCCGTGTCCTCAAGCGCCTTTGCCACGTCGCGCGCCAAGTCCAGATTTCCAGATGTTAGCGCCAGGTTGTTCAATTGCGCAAGCTGGACCGTCAAAAGCGCTATCCAACAACTTAGAAACAAAGGTATAACATCTTCTTTCCTCATTTTTGGCGCGTAGTGCGACGGAGGTACAGTGGTTAGGTAGGAAATTGTCTAGGGGAGTCAAGGAATGCGAGCGAAAACGTGCTGGGCAATAGTAGTAATGTGCTCGAGGGCTAAGTTAGCTTAAAAGTAAGCAATTTCTTACAATCCGTACGTCTGATAAAAGTTGTGTAAAGTGGGCCCAATGGAAAGTGAAGTTATGGCTGCTTGCATAACAAATTGCGGGATGCGAGGCGAAGTGCACTTTTGCTTACTTCTGAAGTCGCAAGTCGCAACTCGCAAGGAACACGCAAAATTTCTATTGTTCTTTTTATGCGAAGACATACGTGTGCATATGTGACTCCGTTTGAAGAACGGATCTCACAATTGGAGAAGTGAACCGTTACTACTACAGCAAACAAGTGCGCGAACGCCACCTCTATTTCGATGAGAATTACACGCAAGCGCGAATAGCTGAAGCTTTCGGGCACAGACCTTGCGAGAGGACTGTGCATGCTCCTACCTGGCGAATGGCGGTGTCCTGCCGCTTAGAGGACAAACAGGAACACGCAAACCACGCAAATTTGACGAGATCGCTGCACAGACGGTTGTGGAGCTGGTGCAGGCCGACGACCAAGCATTGCTCTCCGATCTGGCCACCGCTATGACAAACTTACTGGGCACTCATTGGAGCGGCCCTGATATTAGCCGTGCATTGTCTGAGCTGGGTTATGTCCGCACGAAGGTTTTTACCAGGGCATTCGAGGCACGGGAATCAGCTCAGCTGGCATATCGTGAGCTTGTGTGACAATATGTTCAAATGGCCCAGAAGCTTCCCACTCTGTAACAATTCAATTCAATTCAGTATCGTGAGCTTGTGTGAGTCACGCGTGTGTGTGTGTGCGTGTGTTGCAAGTATTTGACACTGGCCTGACACTGGCCAGGGACTGCTGCCCAGCCCCAACGGAAAGACCACCTAAGCTCCTCCCGCAGACGGGAGAGGGGCGCGAGGGGCCCTCTGCCCCCCCTCCTAAGCAGCCGAGAGCCGCAGGTCCGCTAGTTCCGCTCTCCTCCCCCGGGGGTCAAGGCTCCGTCACGCGAGTTTGAGCACTGAGCCTGAAACACACAAGAAGACTGGCTCTTGGGGTGAGGGTTCAAGAAGACCGAGGAAACCCGGAAACCCTGTAAAAACCCTACCCCTCCCTATTAAGGCACCAGGCCCTAATAGAAAGCTCGGTCTCTCACCCGATTCTCTGTTGCTTGCCCGCAGCGGTTCGGGGGAGCGGGCAGGGTTCATTGTTCATGCTGAAATCCATAATAACCACCTGGAATCACCATGCCCCAATGTTTGCGTCAAATGCTTATATGTTTCCGGTTAGGCTGTTGGGAGTTATAGATTAACCGACCTAACGGCCATGAGCGCACAGCGTGCACCTGGTGGCTTTGTGACTGGGGGCCGGTTGAAGACGAAATGCATGTCTTTGTGGAATGCCCGGCGTACACTAGTATACGGGCTAAGTATGAACGTGACCTCGCGTTTCAAGGGTGCAACATGTGCACGATTATGACCGAGGCCCCACCCCTGGCACTAGCCAGGTTCCTCTCGGAAGTCTGGGAGACCCGGCACGTTGCTCTAAGGCGCTTCATGCTCAAGCGGACGAGGGTGGACGATGATGGTCCACCACGTAACCGCCCTAAAAATGATTTACCGCCCATGGACCCCCCAGCTTTTACGGACACCCCCGCACTTGTGCGGAATTTGTGCGGACTAGGCTAGTTCCTATCAGTTCACCGCCGGGGCTAGGGATGCCTCGAGGCAGTGTGGTTGTTACAGTGGGCTCCAGACTCACAAAGAGTATAGCCAGCGGGCCAGCAGGCCGTGCGCTGCACCTGATACAATGAGGGCAAACAAGACTCCCACCCAGACCAGACAACGCAAGTCACCTAGACAGCCAAAAGCAAATCCAAGGGCAGGCTCAGAACCCGCAACCACAGGGGAATTTGCCATTAGACTCCCCAATTGGCGAAAGTCCTCGGAACCCCACCAGAAGGCCCATAAGCAAATAATAAGAAGTAAGAACTTGCACGTTGTTACTAGATGAGGCCTGAGTGAGCTTGTGCGTATGAACAGCTACATTGCATTGCTCAGACAGACGAAGCCACATAGGCCGCAAGCCACTTCAGCATATTTGCGCCTGCGATCGGCCATAGCCCGCAGGTGCAGACGCCACAAATGCGCTGTGTTTACACCATACAGGCGTGGGTCACGTATGTATTCGCGTAAAAAGGATAATAGAAATTTTGTGAGTTCCTTGCGAGTTGCGAGTTGGGAGTTGCGACTTGCGACTTAAGCCGTACGCAAGAGTGCACCTCGCCTCGCACCCGCAATTTGTTATGCAAGCAGCCATAAGGAAATTTCTTAAGTTCTCCATATAACTTAAGGAACTTTCCTAGCCGCTGGCCAATGGAAAGACCCTCATAAAGTGCAGCCATAACTGGCTGGGGTCATATCGTGGTCCCATGTCATAAATTGACATCATGAATCACATACATTTCATGTCCCCAACCAGTCATATCCTGCACTTGGCTTGCATATATGCAAACTATGAACTGATCCATGACCGGATCCATGGCTTAATGGCAAATTATGACCGGATATAGCAGTAGGAAGGAGACCAACCCAGCGGCAAGCACTAGCGTACATAGACGCATACGAAAACAGTCTATATGGTGGCAGCGGAGTCTTAAACTCCGAACACCTAGTAGTCGTGATACTTCAGTGTCTGGCCAGAGCATCCCGCCCAGGTAGCTTATATCTCGGCCTACCTGCCAGAGATTCCCTACCAGGGTCCTGCCGTACTAGGATAATGTCGGTGGGGCCCGGGGTCAACCACCCTGGTTACTACACCGGATCCATGACCACATCCATGACTGGAAAACATCCATGACCAAGTCATTCCCCGAGTGATTGCCCATTTCTGTGTGGCCTTGTGGCCATGTGGCCGTGTGGCCATGTGGCCGTGTGTGTGTAACGGACCAAACATAATATCTCGCCTGGCTGAAACGCGTTATTGGTACTATATAGCATTCTCTATCGCAAGGTATCTCACCTGTAGCCAACAAAAGTCGTATGAGCACAAATGAGCACAAACAACTTTGGCTGCCTCAATTGACCGAGGGCAAAGTCACATCAACGCCTCTCGGGCTAAATTTAATCTCAAAAAGTACCGTGTATCTCAAAAGGTGCCGTGTATGATAACTCGAACTCCCAAGCCTTGAGTGTGTAACGGACCAAACATAATATTTCACACGGCTGAAACACGTTATCGGTACTATATAGCAATCTCTATTGCAAGGTATCTCGCCTGTAGCAAACAAAGATCGTATGAGCACAAATAACTTTGGCTGCCTCAATTGACCAAGCTGAAAGCCACATCAATACCTCTCGGGCTAAATTTCATCTCAAAAGGTGCCGTGTATCTCATAACTGAATTCTGAGATGACAGCATATGATAACTTGAACACCCAGCTTGTGTTACCATTTGCCCGCACGTGTAACACCAGGCAAAGAGTACTCAGGGAGATGCCAGGGGAGCTGATCCCTCTTACATTCCTTCCCCCTAGGGGGAAGCATATCCCGTAGGATTTTAGGTTGTGAGATCCCGTAGGATTGTGAGTTGTTTGCTATTGTGGAATTTCGTCAGTCCTTGTACAAGATGGAGGACTTTGGCTACTACTCAGCTGGTAGACATCTCACCCACCCAGGCATCCACCTTTGGGGTAAGAGTATGCTGCATCATGCCTGGTGTGCGATATGTTCGCAACCGGATTCGATGCGGGGAGTTCCCACCTCCTAGCAATTCGCACCATTGTAACACAAGACAAAGAGTACTCAGGGAGATGCCAGGGGAGCTGATCCCTCTTACAGCACGGGCATTCCGACTTGCCACAAGCAGGCCGACAAATTTGATTACATTTCTCTATGAAATACGCAAGCTGCTCGTTTGTACATTTACTTTAGCCAATGAAACTTGTGTTGTGCCGCGATGAAGCTCGCGGCTGTGGGGCGGATTGCTGAGGCCGCTGGCGCTTCGGGGATAAACATCACAGACAGCACCGAACTTCACCCAGCTTGCGTTACATTTGCCCGCACGGGCATTCCGACTTGCGGTCTGCCGCACTGTCCATGGGATGGATGCGACTCGCGTGGAGCCCGCAGGAGGTGCTGACGATTCCGCCGGTGCAGGCTTAGCTCCCACACCATCAGCATTGCTGCAACAAAGCACATCTCCCACCGCGTTGACACTACCCATGAATTGTCACACGTGCCGCGCTAGCTACCGGCCTGTACGGATGCAGGGGGGCCCCGCCCTTTTCCCGGCTTCGAGAATACCGATACCCGACTTGTTTCTCGTTAAACTGCATCTTGAGACGCAAGAGTTGGAGCTCCTTCTCGCGGAGTTGGAGCTCCTTCTCGCGGAGTTGGTGCTCCATCTCGCGCAAGTAAGCCAACTTATCTTGGTCCTTGCATGTTGTTTGTTCATCCTCCGTCGCCTCTATCTGCGACTGGACCTTCTGTATTTCCCTGTCGAGAATCTCCATGAGCCTCGCAATCTAACACCAGCGGAGCTGTGTAACCAGAGCTCAGACTATAAGGAATACAAAGTAGTTGCTATATCTACTTTATAAGGACAAAGTTTCTGCTGGCGGAAAAGTGGAAAAGCGGATGCCGTACCTAGGTAAAATTCGGTCCTGGCTTTTGGGGCGTCTTGTACGGCCCGTTATTCGGCACAGTACGACCGGACACATTTGTGCGAGGGGCTGCTTATAAAGTTTTCCTTTGGCAGGTTCCAATTTAGAGACCACATTATGGCATCCTTCGTGCACAAAAGATGCCTGAAATGGGTGCATTGCGCCAACACCCGCTCGCACTGTTTGTCACCCGTCCAGTTGTCTCGAGCACCTGGGGCTTTCAACGGGAAGTCTAGATGCTTTGCACAGACTCAGGATTTGGCAGCTCGGGAGCCACGAACTCAACCTCTTGACCTACTTTTTGCAAAAACAAAGTCGGGCACAATTGAGGCGTTACAAGTTTTGGATGATGGTGACGGATACATCTTTACAGCCCTATGGAAGGGTCAAGTGCTTAAGTTTACAGCAGCCCCGAGGGATGCTGTGGACCAAAGCTGGACAACAGAACGTATAGGTGATTTTATGGCTTCCTACGAACATAACAAATACCATGATGTCTGGTGTTGGCAATAAGGATGGTACCTGTTTGACACAGACGTGTTTACAGGGCACCGTACGAAAATAAGCTGATGCATTTGTATAAGCAAAGCAGGATCGCCAGCGCCTCCCAGCATCAAAATACAAGATAGGGAGTTCGCTTTGATTTTCCGTTGCCGCTTTGCACTCTGAATCCCTTTTTCTCCATCCCTCCCTACAATGCTCCTTAACATCGCTAGGTAGCTTCAGCGCAACACCCTTCATTGCCCTACTTTGCCTCCACCGCAACCCCCTCCTCAGGCTCACATCCACTGGACGACAGCGAACTGGTCAGGGCATTCCCCTGCCTCCGGGGCAAGCTCCTGGAGGATTTGCACAGCCACGCAGGTGGGCGTGTGTGCGGGCCGGAAAGTTCGCGGCCCTTTCCCTGCGGCACCTGGTCCCCTCGCCTCGCCCGCCTACTCTCCATGCCCTATCCTCGACCCACGCCTGGCAACAACACGGCCACCATTTCTATAAACCCAGGAAAGCGCAAAAAGGACACTTACACCCTGCGCTCTTAGCTCGCAGCTAGTCCCCCGCCCGGCCGAACACGCCCTGTAAGATACATACGCGCTTTGCATTCTTAATTCTTCCAAAGAAATGTCATCCACTCGCCTTCTGCCCACACAGTTTTGAGTGCCCTTGCTTAGCTGGTGCGCTGACCGCTGAGGGGCACGGCGACTTAACCTTAGCTTAAACCTCCTTAGCCTAAAACAGTCTTTTAGCCTCTTTAAGCCTCATCAAGCCGCCCTCATTGTACGGAACACGAAAGTGTGTGACATTTCAACCAGCTCCGAAACTCGCGCCTGGAAGCTTGTCCCCCCTCTTCTTTTTCATGTTCCAGACTTTCCGGGGTAACAACTCCCCCGTCGTCGTTCTACAAACCCTCTTCTCATTTCTCCTTGTCCCCCTTCTCTTTCCTTTCCTTACCCTGCGTCCTTACACGCACACACACACACACACACACACACACACACACACCCCGCCCCCTTCCCCCCAGCTCAGGTAACCCGCCGACCGCCTTCGCCTCTATTTCATATGTCTACTCGTTGTCCCAGCTGCAGGACGAGGTCACGCGGGATGCGGCCTTGTGGTGAGATGCGAAATAGATGGATGGATAGATGGATGATGCGAATACCATTTCGATAGATAGGATTGTGCAAAAATGTTAACGCTGTGGGTTGCGAAGTAGCGACGCTAATTGCTTGCGTGGACCTCTACTCCCACAGCTACTGGCGGTGGTGCTGCTGCTGGTAGTTTTTTATTATAATCTGGATTGTTCATGCGTAAAAAAAATTTCTACTTAGAACTTTTCATTTGCTGCTGCTGCTGTTGCTGCTGCTGCTGCCGATTCTCTTGTCCTAACCCCATTGCACCTGCACCGGTACCCCCCAGGTGTGAGGGTACGCGGCCCGGGGCCCCTCCGAAGACCGACCTCCAGAGTCTGACACTCACAGCCGGAGAGCTTGTGTCGCTGATGCAAGGTACGGTATGGTATGGTATGCTGAGGGGGTTTCCGGTGGTGATGTTTAGATGTGGGGTGATGGATGACTGAGGGGGTGCCGACAAAGCGGAAGGCCGGGAGCGGTTTGTTGGCGGGTCGGGAGGGCCGACAGACCCGGGGGTCGGGGTAGAGGTGGGGGGCGGAAGACAGCGTGGGGGGGGAGGAGGAGGAAGAGGAGGGGGAGGGGATAACCGCATATTAGCCATATCGGGCACACAAAGCCTTGTGCATGCGTGCTTCGTGAACTTGCTGCCTAGCTCTCCCCTCGTTTCACACCCTTTCTCCCTCTCTTTTCTCTTCCCCTGTGTGTCTCTCTCCCACCGTCGTTTGTAAGAAACTCCCCTAAGGAACTCTCGCTCCTTTTTTTGTGCCATCGAGCACTCATGTATGTGCGGTGTAATGCGTGTGGTGCGGCCGTGTGCGGTGTAATGCGGTGGAGCCCTGGACCCAAGGAGTCCAAGGAGCTTCCACACATCGACACATGCGTTGCTCGCACAGCTTCCCATCCTCACCCCCCATGATCTCCATGGCAACCGTGCGCAACCAACTACCTCACTAACCAACCCGCTAACCAACCTAACGAGCTCCTCCTTGAAAATCAACCAACTAAATCTGGCAACGCAATCAGACTGCCTTGTCATTTAACCGCTTGGCTGCAGTAATATTCTCTTTTCCCGTCCATCCATTTCTTACTTTAGGCAAACGCGGGGTGGTGATTGTGCAGTTGTGGAACGGGTTTGACCGGAGTCGCGGCCAACCGCTGTACGACCCATGGGTCGTGGACCTGATTGAGGCGGCGCTGAGAACTCCAGGGGTGCGCGCCCTGCCGTCCGTCGCACCTGGCGGGGTGGGTCTTACTGCCGTACTGTTTGCGGACAAGGAGCCCTGGAGCGCCTGGGGACCACACCTTGCGTCCTTCGGGTGCCAGGTGGGCGTCGGTGTGTGTGTGTGCGTGTGTGTTTTGTGTGTATTCGTGTGACGAGAATTACTATAAAGTGAGTGTCAGCGAGCAAGGGAGGGAGGGGCTGCGGGTGCTTTTGTTTCTTTCGTGTGTGGGTGTGTGAGGGGCTATGGACGGTGCGGTGGCTCTGGTGCATGTGTTGCCAGGCTTAACAGCTTAACAACTTTCGTCCAAGAGTACAACACTGCACCGCACTGGGATGGTTTTCCCCTCCCCCTACCCCTTACCCCTACCCCGTTTGCAGCCTACGGCGCAACCCCAGTTCGTAAGGGGCACCCTGACCCCTCCCTACATCGCTGGTGTCTGCTCCACTCGTCCGTGGTTCGTCTTAACTGAACCCCCTTCGTCACCTCTCGGTGCCGTTCCCCGCATCTTCCCATCGCATCCTCGGACCGCCGCCCAATCCTCCGGTGCGGTGCACCATTTTCCGCCCCCAAACAACATTTCCCCCTTGCAGGCCAATACGGTGGCGGGCAGCGCGTACTACAAAGTGCTCATCGGTGCGTACGACAGTGATCCCGGTGCCGTGCACGGTTCTGTACGGGCCGTCCAAAAGCTCTAGCAGCCTGTGTTTGGGGCCTTAAGGTTTTCGGGTTGGGGGTAGTAGAGAATAGCAATGCGGCGGCGGCGATGAGAATGGAATGTACGACACGCAATGAGGCTTTGGGCCCCGTGCGGCGCGTTAAACTCTCTGTGTGCCCCGACACGTGCCGTGTGTGTGCCGCGTATCGGCGCCGTCGCAATCCACGGCGTACCCAACTCTGCCTTACTTACTTTGTACTGTACTGCAACGTACTGCAACGTACTGCAACGTACTGCAGGCAAGATCCTGGGCTACAGCGATGAAAACATATATGGATATGTGCGTTCTGTGGGCGGCGGTCTGACCCCCGCTGTCATCGCTCAGGTGAGTTTGGCAACAGCTGGGAGGTGGGGGCTGGGGGCTGGAAGTAATTAGGACGGTGAGACGTAGGATGGTGCTTATAGGCGATCTGGCAACCCTTGAGTCCTCGGCGCGTAATGGGCGGTTTGCAGGTACGGGGAACGCACCCCACGACCATGTAAAACACACACACACAAATTAGGATGGGGAAAGAAGGTTCTTTTAAGGTGGGGGGGGGGGAGGGGGGGGGAGCGGGTGCACGGACTCGTCAGTCCCTATCGGCGCCTCTGCAAACGCGTCATGACGCGTTCTGGAGTGGCGATGACGCGCTTGGGGCTTTTAATTGTGGGATTTAAGTAAGACTGCGCAATGGGATGTGCGGTGGCACTTACTGGGTGTCGGCTGACTCCCAGCCCCCTCGTAAGTGGTAACGGCTCTGATAAAGAGCCTACGTAGGAAGGGTTTTGGACCGGTGCTGAGTGGCAGAGGATTGTAGCTAGGTAGGTAGGTAAGTAGGTAGTTAAGCCCCTTTTGATTTCCTTTGGAACAGCAATCAAGATACACTGCGGCTGCCGGGGTTCCTAGGACGTCTGACCTGACCTGGCCCTGCTGCCGCAACTCCTCTCATTCACATGTGTGTGTGTGTGTGTGTGACCAGACCATTGTTCTCATCTACAACCTGCATGCCGCGAAGTGCCGCGAGGGTTGCCGCATTCTGTTTTGCTTCCCGCAATATCCCGCGCTCTCTCCTCCCGTTGGCTGAAGTCAAGCGAGCTGTCGACGAGCTGATGTAACTGTTCATGCTTAGTTGTTCATGCATCATGGTTGCCGCGCAGCTCCGAGTACCGCACAGCACATGTCTCCCTCGTGCCCGCACCTCCGTACCCCCGGCTCTTTCCCCCCCTGCCACTCTTGCCCACTCTCTTGCCCTGGCAGCAGCTTCACTCGTGTGTGGTTCGTCTTTACCCCCCCCCCTCACCGAAACAGCCCTCGCACGTCCCTCGCCTTCCTTCTCCTACCCAGACCCCTCCTACCCAGACCCTGCCCCTTAACCATTACGTTGATCTTGTCCTCCTCCGCAACCTGCCGACCCGACCCCTCATGCAATGCGGTGGCTGGATGATCGCTAGGTGGACGCCGATTTGAAGAAGCTCAGCAAGGCCAAACCCAAGCTGCCGTGGAGCAGGGAGAGCAGCAGGGGGAAGAAGGCTCCAGCGGGAACAGGAGCGGCGCCATCACCAGCAGCAGTAGCAATTACAACTGCAACCGCGTCTTCTCGGGGCGCAGCAGTCAAGGCGACTGAGAGCAGTCGTGGCCACCGCAGCAACGACAAGAAGTAGTGACACGCCACCACCACCACAGAATTCAGGTGCTACATCGTGTTGATACGTTTGTGTAGCATGCATGGTAGGGCTGCTGTTGGATTTTGTGTTAGCAGATATCCATTATATATTTGGTGTAATGGATGGCCTGCGTGCGTCCACGAGGTGGAGGGTTAGAAGGGCGGGGGTGGGAAGGGCCATGTCTCTCTGTGCGTGTTGGCATGTTTGGAGCGAGTGGTGCTCTCTGGTACTACGGAATTCCTACGGTGCGTAACTCTTACTTCTTGGAAATTCTGTGGGGCCTGCGACACTCTGCGTTACGCACACACCTATTTGGAGCGTCGTCGGGAGAGAGGAGGAGGCGCGCCCTTGAATGCAGCGCGCCGTCCAGCGTGTGTCGCAGAGCCGTTGATGCCAGGATGGCTACCGGGGTCCGCTCGTGCTTGCTCAGCTCAGGCGTGTCGGTACTGTTTTTCGCGATATGCATATGCACCTTTATACTAGTGATGGAACCCTCCTCTGCTGATGGACCTGCCTTGGCATTTGCGTGGTTGGGTGTGAGCTGTTCTTAGCGTACTTAGGGCGTGTGGCTGGTTCCTTCATTGGTGACCTTGCCTAGCTTTGCTTGCTTTTTCAACTATAAACAAACTGAGTTGCTTTACTATTCGGACAGCAATTACGTTATTGGAACTGGTTTTCTTGGTCGTATAACAATCGGCGCACCTCTCGCCAACATAAGCTTCCGGTATATGGTGACCGGGCGGATGGGGGGATTTACTCTTCTTGCCTAAGCTTATCAATTTTGGGTCGGCGATTTTGCATACCTCAGGCAGCGTCGTTTTTCGGTGGTTATGTGTCCTATAGAGTTCGCATCGTGGCTGGCGGTATGTCCATGGCTTTGTTTTTTTTTGGGTGTTTTCAATCCGCCAGAAAACATCTTTTTTGTGTTTCTTTTTGCTTGCACTGCGATCTGTGTTTGTTTGAGTGAGTGTTGCATTGTGTTGTGATGTGATGTAAGGTGAGGGGTAATAATAATAATAGGGTAGCAGTCGATGGGTTGTCCGATTGGTTCCAGCAGGAGGGCCTGTAGTGACGGACGATGACGACCTGCAGGCCTTAATGTCACCAGTTGGACAATGCGTTGTCGTCGTCGTCGTCGGGCTGCGCGGAAGTTCGCATGTAGCATATAATAGCCGTTGTTGGGTGTCACGAGCGTGCTTGAGAGCATATATGCTTCTCGTCTACTCTCTCGTATACGTCGTCATTTCTACTTTACAGAAGGAATGCCGACATCTGGTGCGGGTCCACGCGATCAGCTTGTCTTGCCTGCTGCTGTTGTTGGCTTGGGAGTTAGTTTCGCTGCTTGCCGGTTCTTCGCCTTTTCCAAACGTTGAGCCAGAGGGGCCTGATGTGATGGAACGCAATTGATTGTGGCTGCGGCTGCTATGCGGTTTAGATTTAGGTGGGTTAGGTGAACTAGACGCTGCTTATTTAGGCCAGCAAGTGGAGCAATGTGAGTGAGAGTTATGTGTACCCAACCACTTAGGGTCATTCATTCCTGCACGCCGCGTCAGACAGACGACTCAAAGTCGCTGTGAAAAGGAGTTCGCAGTTTAATGGCAGAGCACAACAGCTGCGGCTGGGAATGGCGCGAATCCAGCCATCAAACAGCCTTCCGACAGTCTGACTGCCACATTACAAACGGTATTAACAATACGGATGGAGGTTCTACGAATGAAAAACTAAAACTCAATAATGGCATGAGGTGTTTATGGGTTTTGCGGGGTTTTTCATCGATTTGAAGTAAAAGCATGTGTTTCCCCTTCCCTAGTGGTCCGTACGACATCACACGGGACAGGCGGCAGCCAGGATTGCCTAGGCCGCCTAGATCAGGTGTTTGCCCAGCTTGACCCTTCTCCTCCCGTTCCAGCCATGGTCCAGGGGGTTGCTTATCAGCGGCATATCCAGGCGCTTAGATTGGAGTTTGTGGCCATCGAGTACACTTTGGCGGATGACCAGGCGGTGGACCGCGTCCTGGGAGGTCTGCCTGAAACATATGCGGTGTTCCACACCGTGATAGAGAACACGAACGATGTCGACGATGTGGACAAGCTGGAAATACGACTACTCATCGAGGAGAAGAAGATCGAGTCGGAGACCAAGGGGGCCTGCAACATCACGCGGCAGATGCTGCACAAGAAGGGAAACCGCAAGTGTTACTACTGCAAGGAGCAGGGTCATTTAGTCGCGAGTGTCCGAAGCTTAAGCAGGGCTACCCGCCACCGCCCCCGCCGCCTCCACCACCTCCCCAGCCTTACATGCGCCAGCCACGAAAATGACAACAGCAAGCGCAGGTGCAGCCGCAAGCTCAGGGTGTGCGGTGGCGCCTAGTTGGTGTCACAAACACGCTCGGGAACATGGAGCAGAGACCCGGTGAATGGCTTCTTGAAACGGGAGCTGAGGACCACCTGACTTTCAGTCCCGAGGATGTGGAATACCTGACACTGGTGCGTGAGGGCGACGGTGTTCTTTTCGAGGTGGCGGATGGGGGACAGTCAGCTCCATCACTACGGGCAGGGTATTTTTTTCCTCGCGTGCAGGGTCCACGGACCTATCCATGTCTGTCCACGTAGTTCCGGACATACAATACCGCCTGTTTTCGGTCAAGGCCTTGAAGAAGGCCTTCCCTGATAAGGTGGTAGAAGTTAGCTTATCCACCTACCACCCGCATATAGCAATAGATGGGATCCCTGCCGTTGATGTGTTCGAGAGGGGCGGGATGTACCACATACTCGACCAGGCAGAGGTCGAGAGAAATAGAATTTCAGCAATGGGGGAAGAGCTCGAGCAGAGGTTCGATACCTGGCACTTGCGCATGGGGCATGTGAGCTACTCCTCTCTGTTTGAAATGACGGACACTCATATACCAGAGGATGGTAACAGCAGTAACAGGAACCGGGGGGGAGTCCAGCGCACAGGCTGGCATTACAAGTCTAATGGCAGACTTGGACCTTTCGGAGTTCTTGTATGGTGCGAAAGAGAAGTTTTGTGAGCCGTGCGTCATGGGAAAGATGACTCGTAGCTCTCATCCCCCGTCAACGCACAAAAGTGAGTGTCCGTGTCCACTTGGCCTTGTTCGTATGGACGCTTGCGGTCCGATGCCGGTTACGTCGTTGGGTGGAGCCCGCTACATCGCTACCTTCTACGACGATTTTAGCAAATAAGATTTTAGCAAATATTCTGAGGTTCGTTGCGTTCGTGCGAAGAGTGAAGTTCCTGACGCCGTTCGTGAGGTCTTGCTTCAGTGGGAACGGCAGATTGGTTTAGAAGTTCGTTGTGTCCGTAGTCACTGTGCCACTGGGCAGGGGAACGAGCGCCTTGCTTCTTTCTTTTCCGATAGGGGCATTGTGCACGACAAGTCGGCTCCGTACACGCTGCAGAACAAAACGGAGGCCTAAACAGGACTTTGCTGGAATGCGTCCGAACCATGCTAGTTGAGCCGGGTGTCCCTCAGGAGCTTTGGGGGGGAGCGGTAGTAAAACGGCAAACCTCGTGTGTAACGTGTGTCCTGTGAAGGGGACTGTGCTGACGCCGTGGGAGCTTTTCACAGGAAAGGCCCCCGATGTATCTAAGCTGTGAGTATTCGGTTGTGTGGCTTACGTCCAGGTTCCAAAAGCTTCTCGGAAGAAGCTCTACCTGGTCTGCAAAAAGGGTATAATGATTGGATACGAACTTAATGCTTGTGCTTAGTGCATAGCGCGTTTGGGTCCCGGAGGACAGCTGGGTTTACATTAGTGTGGACTGGTGGTTTCTGATGTAGGAACCATGTACCGTAACGAGTTTTTGTCGGGGGAGGAGGAGGGGACAACAACGTCAGACTCTGAGAACGAGAACCCCGGACAACCAAACGCAGCACCCGAGAATGAGGTGGAGACGGAGCCCGTAGGTGAACCGGTTGGTGATGTAGAACCTGAGTCGAATGATGAGCCGGGTCCGCTGCTTGATGAGGATGATGCATCAGCCGCTTCTGGGAAGCGCGCGAATCCAGCCACCAAACGGCCTTCCGACAGTCTGACTGCCACTTTACAAATGGTTCTGCGAATGGAGAACTAAAACTCAATAATGGCATGAGGTGTTTAAGGGTTTTCCGGGTTTATTCAACGGTTTTAAGTAAAAGCATGTGTTAGGCCAGTCTAAGAAACGACGCGAAAATCGTTTACGAGGCGCAACCAGTACTGGGTCGTCGGAGGCTACCCTACAATCCCTAACCCTGATGTGCATTTCGCCTTTATACTGACATTTCCCACTCGACTACTCACGGGCATCTGCCTAAAGCATTCGCTGCGTTCCATCAGTACGGACTGGTGGGCTAGAACAGCCTTGTTGCCACATACTAGGACCGTAAAATAGCAGATCCGCCGCTGCAGCTGCTCTCCCCGCTGCTGGGGCTGGCTGCTGTCGAAAGGCAGAGTGAGCAGTTCCGCCAGATCGGTGGTGCGGTCTGACCTTGGAAGGCGCCTCCAACCGGCCAGGACTGCACCGCTGGGGCTGAAGCTGACACCGCCGCTGCAAATAAGAACGGTTCAAACTCGGTCCTGACGGTTGGGCATACTACCAACTCGGAACTGGGCAGGATGGCTAATCGGCGGGAACAGGGCGATGAGTCCTTCAGGGATGTGAGTGCTGACTGTTCTTTCACTGCCTAACGAGCGAAGCCGTGCTTGACCCCTTTCAAGCCGCTGTCAGCTACAAATACGGGGCTCAATAACTTATAAATTCTTTGGATAAATACCCGCTGGAGGCCCTGAGGCAGCCAGGCTTTACGCACCTCTAAATACAAGCCGCTGTACACGCTGTACATAGCTCTGTATACACAACCGTTGTACAATGCTCCATTCTAGATATGATAATCCAAATGTGTGCAATCGGCCCAAAAGCCTCCCACTCTGCAAGAATCAACAAGCCGCTAGTACGAGAGCCCTATCATGGGCCTAACCACCAGACCTTCCAAAAGCGTTCTATACCCTAGCACAAGCCCCAGCGAGCTGTCGCATTGCTGCTTCCCCACCTTCTTCATAGAGAAGAGTGTGTCTTAACACTGGCTTATCACTCCAGGAAATGAAAGCTTAGGAGTAAGGCGTAGAGCAGCTTCTGCTGCTCATGGCTAGGTCACACTCCCTCACGTTGCTGCGACCGCAGCCTTGCTAAAGGTTATGTGCGCGAGCCCATCACAACACGAGGGCCTGCAGCAGCATTAAATACACGACCGGCTATGATCCTGGCTCCTCCTTGTCGCCTGCAGCGCCTCCTGCTGCTGGTCGCTGCCCGCCCAGACTGCTGCTGCTGTTACTTCCGCTTTAGCTGCGGCTGCGTTCGCTGTTTTTTGTGCTTTTGCTGCTGCTGCTCCATCGCTTGTGGCTCCTGCGTCTGTCTTCGTTGAAAGAGAGCGACGAAGAAGCCGTCAGTGCCGTCTAGGTAGGCGTCTGAGGAGCGCGACCACAGGTGACAGAACAGGCGAGGGGCCAACAGACAAAAAAATGGCAGACAGGACAGAAGCGCAGCAGCAACAACGGGAGGATCAGCTGCAGAAAATCACAAAAACGACGGAACGGACTGCACCAAGCAGGCCAGCTAGGTAAGAACGTACCAGAAGGTACATTGCGACATCTGTCCTAGCTGCATTGAAAACCCTAAGTTCCGGAACGTGCGTTGAAGACCAGCAGCAGCAACACGGAATTTTCAAGACAGCGGCACGTTCAGGAGCCGCGTGTGCGCATAACAGACTCCCAGATTTCCCCTATTGAACAGTCCTCCCAGCATCCCTACTGCTAACACGAAAAATGTAGAGGGGTTAAACTGCCCCAGCAGCAGCCATTCCCCCTGGTGGGCCTGGCGATTTACATCACGGGATTTAAGCAACTCTGGACCCAGACGTATCCTGTCGGTGACGGTGATCGTCGTGGTCATGGTGTTGTTGTTAGCGGTGAGTGATGGCGGTGCGTGTTATTACTGGGTTTTCCCTGGGTTTTCCCCCTCTCCGCTCACCCGTCCGAATCAGCTTCTCCGCCCCGGGGAACAGCGGCAGGCCGCGTCGGTGCCAGGAGGGGAAGGGGTCCTGCGTCACAAGCCAGGAGCAGGGCCAGAGGCACGAGCGCATGGGGGAACAGGCACCACCCATTGCGGGATAATTTTGACACATGACACAGGCTGCGAGAGGCCCGCATGTGGCCGTACCATATCGTGCCATCCACAGCTTCCGCACAGCTCCACATCCGAATCCCCAATCGAATCACCGGCTCTGGAATGAACGCACTAAGCAGCACAGGACACTACAACCCTACCAAGGAATCCCCTCACCACACCGGACACCACACACATATAGCCCGCATTCGCGTCCATGCCTGCCGATTTCAATCAGTTCCGTTCAGTTTTACAGGTACTCTAGGCCCGCTAGCTGTTGAGTTTGGTCTGATTCATGATGTGTTGCTCTTCCCGCTCAAGACCGCAGGGGCCAGTCCACGTCCCCGTCCCCATCACCTCGCCCCGGTCGCCATCACCCACCCACCGCCAGCTCCAGGCCCGCCTCCGCTGCCTGCTGCAGCGCCCCCGCCACCACCGCCTCATTCTCTTCCACGTGCACACTGCAGGTGCTGTATACAAGTCGCTCCAGGGAGGGAAAGCGAAGCGCGTGAGACAGCGCCGCTGACTGGAAACGAGCCAACTGCGCCACGCGGGCCGCCTCCGCAGGATCCTGATTAGGATACACCACATCCTGGCTAGGGACACCACCGTGCTGCTGCCCCTGCTGCTGCTGCCCCTCCTGCTGCTGCCCCTGCTGCTGCTGCCCCTGCTGCTGCTGCCCCTGCTGCTGCTGCCCCTGCTGCCCCTGCTGCTGCTGCCCCTGCTGCTGCTGCCCCTGCTGCCCCTGCTGCTGCTGCCCCTGCTGCTGCTGCTGTTGGTTCCTTTCCAAATTCTGGTCGTGTGAAGGACCCATCTCCAGTGCTCCACATGCACCGCGCTGCTTCTTCCCGCCCTTCATTCGCTTCCTCAGGCCCTTCTCCTCCATTCGCTCCCGGCCGTCCAGCTCGTCATGGTTCTGGACGGCAGTAGCAGCAGCAGGCTGTGCTGGAGCTAGAGCTGCCGAGGAGGCTTCTACTGCGGCTGCTGCTGTTGTCGCTGCACCTGCTGTGATGGCGGTTTGACCCGGAAGTGGCGGATCTGCCTGTGCCGTACCGGTCAAAATAGCCGCCTCCGCCGCCGCCGCAGCAGCTGCGGTTGCTGCTGACGTGGACACAGGCCCTGTGTGGCTGGGTAACAAGTGATCCATGCGGGTGAATGTGGTTCCGGAGCCGGAGCAAGAGGGGTCCAGAAGCACACCACGGACCTGGAAAACACGGAAAACACGGAGGAGAAAGGAGGAGACGTGGGGGGGTTGCGGCCTTTCCAGGGTCATTCAAAAGAAAGACCCTAGGTTTATTTTCCAGGGTCTTCATGTGAAGAGTGCTTTTGAAACCACTGTTTGTTTGATCGTGGTCTATCCACCACCAAGGACACACAGCTGCTTTCTTTCATCGCCACGCCACCCAGAGAGAGCCACCGTGTAATCCTCATCATCCATGGCCTCTCCGGCCGCGGTCCCCGGCCTGCTGCAAGTTGCCGTACAGTGCCGTACCTCCCTGACCTCGAATGTCGTACCTCCTTAAACTCGGGTGCCGTAGGGTCCAGGGATAGGAAGTCCGCAAGCCGGGCCTCCACACAGGATGTGGCCCCCACAAGCGAGGCGTTGGCCTTCAAACGGGCGAGGCGCCTGGGGTCCTTGTCGAAAGCGAGCACACGACCTGCCAGGTTGGGGGGGCGGAAAACCACAGACAAACCAACAGATGCACGCACACAAATCCACATGGCATCGATAGGCAGACAGTCCGTTATGCCGATGATGAAAAGGCAGGTAGGCACGAAGGCAGGTAGACACAGGTACACACTTGAACAGCGGCAAATGACGCAACCACAAGCAGAGAGCAGGAACGATGTGGCTCTCTGCTTGCAAGCGATGGAGGCCAATGGCCGTCGAGGACCGGCCAACCGACCAGGAGGCCAGGGCGCAGCGAACTTGGTCGTGATGCGATGTTAGGGACCGAGTTGAAGTTGTGAACATGACATGACATGACATGACATGAAGGGGAAACAGCTGTGGGGAATGTCGGACAACGCGGTTGGCTTGCGGTCGCAAAACACATTGCGGTCGGTGAGCAGTTCAGCAACGTGTATATAATTGCGTACCCTGATTCTTCATGATGGCGGCCAAGTGGGTGGTCTTATTGCCAGGTGCCGCACAGCAATCCACCACCGTCCAGCCGGGCTCCGGGGCCAGCGCGCGGGCGGGCATGCAGGAGGCCTTGCTCTGCAGCACCACTGACCCACGGGTCACTAGAGGATGGTCGTGAAGGTCCGTGCCCGGCGGAAGCGCTAGCAAATCCGGCAGCAACGCGTCTCGGACCACCCTTGGTGCTGCTCCCGCTGCTGCTGCTGCTGCTCCCGCTGCTGCTCCCGTTGCTGCTGCTGGGGACTGAGGCTGCCACTGCTGCTGATCCCGCTGCTGCTTCCTCCTCTTTTTCAAATTCGGCTGTTGCTTCTCTTGCTCCTCCGCCTCCTCTTGCTGCTGCTGCTGCTGCTTTCCAGATTCCGTCTGCTGCTTGCCTTGCTTGTCTCGCTGCTTCTGCAAACAAGACAAGAAAACATCAACAAGTGAGGTGACGCCTTTTGCCAGAACCGCCAGGGCGTCAAAACAGGGCTCTGAAGATGGCTTTAGGTTTACTAAGGCTTAAGGTATGTAATATCTATAGAAACATCCTAATGAATAGGGCGACCTATCGAGCGACGCCTAAAAAACCGGGTCTCCCTCACGCTAATGTATCTCCAGCACTTCCCTCTCCACAAACAAACACATACATACACACACACACCACGCGACGCTCTCGTACCGTCGTATGCCGCAGGTGCTCGTCCAGCTGTCGTACGACGTCGTCCACGTCCGCTTTGAGCAGATTGACACGGACCCAGCGGGGGTGAGGCACCAGCGGCCCGACCCCGCCTACGGCGACGCTACTGCCGCTACCTCCCCCGTTGCGTAATTGTTGTTGTTGTTGTTGTTGCTGCTGCCGCTGCGCCAATAGGTCGTCTAGTGACTGCAGAGGGGAATGCGGCGTCGGCAACGGCAACGGAGCGGCATTGGGGAGGCAGCGAGCCTCAAGCGGGCCTCTGCAGCTGGCGTTGCGTGGACGGTAGCTGGGGTTTGGATAAACTAAACATCCGGGTAAATTAAACATTTCTGGGTAAACTAAACAGTGGACGTGTATTAGACGTGTTCTAGCGCAGATGTGTGCACGTGTGCCCACATGGGGTGTCCACTTCTTCCAAAAAATACCCGTCTGTCAGAGGTCGGACACGTCGCCTCCTGGCTAGCTAGCCATCCCCTGGAGGCAACTTTCCCCCATCACGTGCATCTCACGGGGCCCTCTAAGGCTCAACGGAGAGAGAGCCAATGTCGTACGTCGCTACATACGTGGCTACAGACAATCCTCGCCTCCGGCCCTTACCTCCGCCCCTGCCTCCCTTAACATGTCCGCCAGGGCTGCTCGAAGCCTGGGCTGCGAGGGAGGAACGGTTGGGAGTTGCAGTTGCGGTTGGGGGTTGCAATTGGGGGCTTGGAAGTTCGTTGAGGACCGTAGGCAATGCAACGGTGGGGGCCTCTACACCACCGCCTGCGCCCCCCCCGGGGCCCCCCGGACCCGCGCGAGCGCCAGGGAACAAATGGGTTGTGGCTTGGAAGGCCAAAAGAAGGCAACTGGTGGAAAGGGAAGGCGACAGATTGCCAGATGAAGACAAATCGAACGAGGGGCGAAGTGAGGTCGGGTTCAACATCCCACGGGGCGGAGAATCCTAAGATGAAAAAAAGGGGATTGCTGCTCACGAGACGCATGTGATTTTTAGAAGCGCAGAAAATAATAACACTCAAAATCACAAATACACTCAATTTCCGCCAGGAACAACAGCAACAGCTACAACAATTTTTTTTATGAATGAATTGCCGCCACCAATATTTTGTGTAGATGCAATAAAACCGATGGTACAGCTTTGCGGGCAAGACAGGAGTTTGCCGTACCGTACCATTTTGCCGTACGTACCTCCGCTGCCAACGCCGCTCGCTCCGCTGGGCCCTTGCGCTGCAGGCCCTGTAGGGGTAAGGGGGGGTTGGGGGGGTGGGGGGTGGGGGTAAGGGTTGGGGGTGAGGGGGGGAACAAGGGTTGCGGAAGGAGGAGGACGCGGGGTTCCCAATGCGGTTCGATAGGGGCGATGGTGGGTCCAACGCGGAAGATTGGGCGGGGAAGTAAATAACCTCAACGGGAGACCCTCAAGACCAAGACATGACGATGGCTGGCTGGCTGACTGGATGACTGAATGGGCGAATGGATGGACAGGCGGAAGAAGGTCTTAAGGTAAGGAAACACCAGATGGATGGATTTATGCATGTACGTATGTATGTATGTATCTATATAGATACCTCAAAAAAGTATGTCCTGTGCTGTAGTATGGCGGATCCTAAAACCCCCGTGCCCACCTGCCCATGCAGCAACTCATACGACAACACCATTGCCACGTACTTGTCCATCTGTACGGCAGGGTAGACAGCGGGATGGACGCCGCAGGGGCCGGAAAAAAAAGGTCGCACCGGCAGAGGCCGATCCGGACCGTGATAGCCATCGGGGGAAGGGGCGACGTCACGTCAGCATGGAGGCCATAACAACTCCCCGTTGTGTTACAGGGCAAAGCAAGGAAGGCCGCAGGGCCTCCCTAACGGCTGATGGAGGAGGTCTAGTTCGTGCATCATGCATCGTGCATCTTTATGAGTGCGATGTTGTCAAGGAGGCCGACTCAAACGGCCTAGGAGAGGTCGAGGGAGGCGCTTCCGACGGCGCTGACTCTGCGCCGGATCAGACCACACCACCAAACCCCATCAGACCCAAATTGGTGAATGAAGATGGGAATGAATGGGAGCGGTACGACATGGGAGAGGGGCATGTACCAGGGGGCTGTGTCAGGGTGTATGGGTTTTGACCAGGCACAGCGGGACCGAGGAATGTTTTCCTCTTCCTCCTCCCCCTCCCCTCGCGCACACGCACACTTCCGGACCAGCCGGATCAATCAGGACAAGCACCAGGACGCCACAATCTCAAGGTGCCGTACAGGTCTGTACCCTAATACGTCCGTACCGTACTGTACTGCTAACCTTTGGCTGGCCGGAGGAAAAGTTCGACTGCTCGTCCAGCTGCTCCAGAATCTGGGAGACTGGGTTTCGGTGTCACAGGCGGAGCGGGAGAAGAAATGGAAGGGAAGGCCATGGAAGGGAAAAGGGGAATAGTAGTGGGTTTGGAGACTGGAGAGGAGGAAGGGGAAAGGTCACGTGAAAAAAAGATGGAAAGGTCAAATGCTGCCCTAGGGAACTGGGGAGGCAGGGAACTGACATAAAAGAGCAACTAGTTAAATTACATTATAGTTTATCATGTATATATATGCCGAGATAACTTAAACAATGAAGGCCAAAAGCCTTTTTCTACGGTCATCAAATTTAGGCAGCGTCACCATATCCTCCCCCGTGAGGCAAAGGGCCCGAGAGCACGCCAAGGCGGCGAGAGCCGCGAGCAATATGACCCCGCCATGTCTATGACTCTTATGGGCAACGCCACCAGGCCGGGAGACTAACTTAAGAGTACGGAGGGTACGGTCAATACAAACTCAAAGGCGGATTGCAGTGCAGGTTGAGCTCGGGTTGGAAAGGGCTGGGATTTGGGCTGATTCTGGGTTGGGTTGGGTCAGGAGTCAGGACGGTTCGAGGCCTTATTCGCATCGTCAGGGATAGTGTCACGGTGGCCTCTTTTGTGCTGTGGGTGTTCTGCTCCTTTGTCTTTCGCTTTTCTCCCCCTCTCTCCCCATGCTACAATTTTTCCATGTTTTTTTCTTACTCAACTTTCCCCCTTCCCCATCCCTGTTACAGTCGTATGAGGAAGTTAACTCGAGACATGCTACGCAGAAGAAAGCAGCATTTTGCTGTTTCCGAGCATTCCGCTTACATTTGAGCACTTGACAAGTGACGGCGAAAGTGGCTTTCTTGGCCTCTATGTGCGGTGCCAACGTCAGCGACTTGAGGCTGCTGCCATGTCTGCGGCTGCTGTCGGCTTCAAGGAGCCGCTTGACAGCGAAGGCCGCTTGCCGATGGACGCTGCTGAGGGGCCGCCATGAGTTTCCTGGTGTGTCTTCCCTGCCACGGCCGCGCCCGGCACCATCCCGAGCAACTCCTTTACGTCGTTTGACGTTTCTATGATTAGCATCCTGCTCGTTGCTTTCCCATGATCGCTTGGCGCGGCCGCCGCCGTCGCGGCGTAGCCCGGCATCCGGCCCAACGCCTTGACTTGCGGGCTTATGTAGATGCTGAGAACGTGTTTGGTTGTGCTTGGGTACCGACTGGTTCACGGCGGACTTTGGCACAGGCACGATAGGAGTACGCCGTTTCGGTTTAGGCATCTCAGGTGCGACAAACGAACTTGCGTACGCCAAGGGCTATGCTCAACTACGTTACCAAATGATTAATTCTCTGTCAGAGCTTTAGCTTTATATCCGTGAAGCACAGCACGTCTATTTTACATTGACAGGTTGAAAGGTGCATTAAGACAGGAAAGCAGATTGGGCAGCACCAAATGTGTGGTAGCACGTTTTACGATATCTGGGTCAATGCAAATAATGGGTCTTTCTCTGCCTTTCCTAACTGAACACCCAAGAAGCCATGTCCAAAGAACTGTTTCCCTCTTGTTTTGGAACCCAAAATACAAATCATCAATAAATATTTGATTCCTGGGCGGGTCGATTAGCCACGTGCGGGCCCTATGCTTAACGGTGCTGCGATGTAGTACAGTCACTGGAGGGGGCGCCGTGCGCCACGCACCCTGAAAGCTAAGCTTTATACTATTGGGAATACAGAAGCGGTGGACGGAGATAAAATTAATTGTAATTTAAGGGTTGATAACTCTACATAGCAAGCGGCTCTCATCGATAGAGCACTAGATAGCAGCCCCCAGGTTAAAGTGGGACCGGTATTAAGTGCTCTATCGATGTATAAAAAAGGTGAAAAGGTCCACAATAGAACCTGTTATACTTTTAACACAGTGTTAAATTAGCGAAGTGACTTCGCCGTCCCGAGAAGGCCACTAAAAGGCATTGAAAGGCCACGGTTTCAATTGACTCCGACTTTTATGGAAACAGGCACTAAAAGGTGGCACTAAAAGCCAGTGGAAACAGGCCCCAAAGCGTCCCAGCTCCTGCGCTCGCGACACCATACAAAGTACAGACATCATATAGCGTTGAAACAACAAAAATTACAGATTATATGGATACTGCTGTTACGCTCGGAAGACAAACGCGGCTTCTAACCGTTGCTGCTAGCAACCCTGCAACCAAAAAAGGGCGGAATTAAAAAATATGCGTTTCTGATTGTACAGCTCGTCCTTTGAAATATGCGTTTCTTAATGTACAGCTCGTCCTTTGCTTTCTTTCCGTAGCAAAATTTCCTCATGAAGTCAACGTGTCAACCAGGTGAGAATATTGTGGTCGCCGTACCCTTTCCCCTACGCATTAGCAAGAGATTTATGTCAAAAACCTTGTTAGAAGGGAAAGACATATCCGTAGGCAAAACGAACGTAGGAGCGCTGACTGTTAACCGTCGTCATAGACCCACCAGTTACACGCAATTTTGTAATGTCGCGTCTCTACTTACCAAGTTTGGGTAGGTGTTCTTTCTACTTGCCGTGTCGCAATCTGGCCGTGGCAAGTTTGTAAGGAGAGCGCACACCGATGTCACAGTCGGTGAGTGTTTACATAGGGCAAGCATGGCCTTCGGGATGTCCTTCGCCTGTTTGTTGGTACGACCCTGTAAGTATAGGATGGGTTCCGTGCGCTGTGCTGAACATGAAGACGTCGACATCCCTTCCTTACTTCATCGCTTCTTACAGCTTGGATAGCCGCCCGTACTAGGCAAATTATTTGCAATTGGCTCGTATGGAGGTCAACAAGCGAATATGGGAAATTTGATCCTGGGGTGAAGCTCATCTGTGTTGTCGCCGTGAGCGAGAAATATCTCCCTTTCTTCAGCTCACGCATGCCACAACACAATATGATAAGAGGATCATCCAGCGGAAACTTCTGAGATAGCAGCAACCCACATTGACCCCAAAGAGGAAAACGTGACTGTGCCTAGTTGCGGAAGTGACGAAATCAGTCGGTTTTCACTGCAACCCGCAGTCCAAACCATTCCCTGCAGATTGATGGTTTCTTATTGCTTGCGACTAGATACGCATACTCCTATCTGGCAACTGTGCTGAAGACGCCGCCTGCCTGCCACGTCAGCCTCCGAATCCCAGGGCAGCGGCTATTCACGGGCAGCCCCAGTCAATCCGCCACGCTCACCTTCCACGCAGCACCTTCTTCATCCTGTTTTGCTTTCTTCAATCTTTTTCTTCCTTCTGCCCTTTCCTTCCTAACCTCCAGAAAAAGCCAGTTAAGAGAGTTCCTCCCCTCCTCCATTCCTCCTCCTCATCCCCCGCGTCTCCTCCTGATCATCATCCACCTCCCTCCCTTACTTCGCGCCTTCCACTTTCTTCCCCACCACGCCACGCAGGTGAGCAGCTTGGCGGCCTCGGACAGCGGCGCCGCGTCCGTCGACACGCAGTCGTCGCCGCTAGTCATCGCAGGCCAGGAGCGGGGGAGTGAGCGAGGAGGACTTAGGGCTGGAGCCAGCGGCAGCGGCGGCGGCATCCCCCGTGTCCGCTCCCATGCGGTGTTCCTTAACGACGCGGAGGGGGAGGAGGGCCAGGAGGTGGGGGAGGAGCGGATTATCGTGCCGAAGCAGGTAGGCTGGGGCGGCAGCGGACCTCTGGCGTGTGGGCCTCACGCGGGTGCACATGGGGAAGAGGAGCCGTGGGGGAAGGAGGGGGGGAAAAGGGGGGGAGAGGTTCGGGATGGGGTTTGTGGATGACGGAGCAGCGTGGATTGAAAGATGAGGCTGGTGGAGGACAGCGGCCTTTTTGTCCCAAGGGCGTAATGGTTTTTTTGGCAGCTGAACGGGGCTGCCGATTTCACATTCTCGTGTTCAGTTTGGTTTCGTTTTACCGTTGACCGTTGGCGGTTGGTCACGTAGTTTGCTTTGCAAAGTCCTGGTGAATTGGAGAATTGATGTTGTTGTGAGTCAACAACCCACGCCGTTTTGCCTGACTTGGTGACTAGTCGACTCAATGGGAATGTGGCGGGTTCAGGCTGAGAGGACAAAGCGACTGACGGCCGGACAGACAGCTTGACAGACAGACAGAGGGACGAACAGATGAACAGGCGGACAGACGAATAGACGGACAGACGGACTGGCAGCTTACCCCTTATCTGTTTTGACTGTGCAGATCAGCCTGGTCGCCGGAAGTCCGGACCTGCAGTACGACATGGGCTGTTTCGCTTTACAGGTCAGTTTCTTCCTACTCGCTTCGATGGCGCCGCCACCGGGCGAACAATCCGCTGGTCTTGGTTGGCATTACGTACGTGATTTGACGTTCTCCTCGCGTGGTGCTTGACGTTTGTCCTCCTAGCTACTACTACTGCTGCTGCCGCCGCTGCTACTGCTGCTGCTGTCGCTGCTGCTGTAATTTCAAGATGCAATTCCGCAACGCATGTCTGTCCGAACTGACTTGAAGGGGGTCATCCACGCAACGGCCCCGGCTGCCCTCACTGGTTGGTGTAAACCAAAACGGCTGGATCTCATGACTAGTTTTAATACTATGCATTTCAAGATATTGCCTGGTCCTCCCGGACATGGAACAGAAACCCCAACTCCGAAACCACCGGTGCCCTCTCAGGGAGTATCGTCTAGGATGGAGGATCGGGTGCTGACGTACGACTTGTCGTACCACCCACACTTCAGCGGCTGCCGAAGGGCGGTGCTGATCGCTGTCCTGGATGGCCATGCTGGCAGCGGCGCGGTGTCATTTCTGGAAGTGAGTTGTGTCGTACCTGCGGACCTCGATGCTGCCGTACGCGTACGGACAGACGGCAAGGCGGAGGCGGCCATGGCGGTACTGCCACTCTCTCCTGGACCAAAACATGACGCGCTACGACGTGCGTGATGTGCGTGATGTGCGGCGTACTCTGGGTGTTTTGCAGTGTGTCCGTTGTTTGGATATTGTTGTTTCGGCATTCTAATCCTCCTGCTATTAGACCTTGGGGAGGACAGCCTTGTGCCCCTTGGGGTGCTGATCATTACCACTACCAATAATACTCTGGCTGTTACTGCTACTGCTGCAGCTACTGAGGCTGTTGCTACTGCTACTGCTACAGGCTAATCTGGCTCGTCACGTGTTAGAGGAGGTGGCGCTACAAATCGGATGTCCCGCCATTTTGGAGGTGCCCTCGTCCACACAACAGCGTTTTAACCAACATCACCAGCACCAACATCAGCACCAACATCAGCACCAGCACCAACACCAGCACCAACACCACAACAACCATAACCACCAACAGGACAACCACCAACACCAACAACATAGCAGCCCTCCACAGCCCCGAGCCTACCAGCCGCCGCATGCCCGGTATCAACAGCAGCAACAGCAGCAACAACAGCAACAGCAGCAATGCCCAGGACAGCAGCAATCGCAGGAGCAACAGCAAAGTCAGGCCGCGGGCGTAGACACTCAGGTTGCAGCCGACGTTGAGCAACAACAGCAGCAGCAGCAGCAGCAGAAAGAGCAGGAGGTTCTGCAGCAAGACCAACAGCAGAAGCTACCGGAATGTGCGATGCTGACCATGTTTTCGGCTGCCGTCACCGCAAACTACCGTAACCCTGGGTGTGACGGTGTGTTGGCGGAGGGTGCTACCGCAGCGCCTGCCTCTCCTACTGCGGCTGCTGCAGCCGCGGCGGCGGCTGCAGCCACTGCTGCAAGTAAAGCCGCTGCGTCTTCGTCCGCAGTCAACGGGGCTGTGCTTGACACTACAGCTACAGCTGCTGCAGCGGCAATGCCTCCAGTGGGTGTCAGCAGTAGCCGCTGCAGCAGTAGCGGGGCAGCTGTGGCCTGTGCGGCGGGGGACGTTGCAACAGCCCATTTTCTATCGGTGGATCGCAGCGAAGCTGTCGTACCCGCACCGGCGGGACCCGGGTGTTCGCCGACGGAGGGAGTCAGCGGAACGGCGGCGGATATGGCGGCGGCGGCGGCGGCGGTACCCACAGTGGGGGCGGATGCGAGGGGACGAGATGTGGCGGCGGCAGGCGGAGTGTACGGAACGGCAACGGTGGCTGTACGGGGTTCGGAGCCGGAGGAGGTTACCGCGATGACGATGACGGCGGGCGCTCCCCGGGTGTCATCTAGCGTCAGCATGGAGTTCCGTACAGGGGGACAGGGAGCGTCGTACGACTGGGACCCACCTGACGCGTCGTCATCGTACTGCTTGGACGAGTGGCCTGCGGCGGTCGACGTTGATAATGATGGTGATGGGGAGTATGACGGCAATGAGGAGGGCCTGTACGGCGACGGGGACGAAGGCACCCCGCCGTGGGCGCCGCCGTTGTTCCATTCGGCGGCGGAGGAGCGGCGGCGGACATCTCTGGCTGCGTACGACAGCGGGTGCGGATGTCAACCGCCAGATCCGCCCGCGGCGCTGCGCAACGCACTGCTGCGGTGCGAGCGGGAGCTCATGGACCAGGTGCGAGTTGGTCGTTGGCTGTTTTGAGCTGGCGCAACGGTTTCACCGGGCCTTGAGCTTGCATTCTGTTGACCCTATCCCTCAGTGCCCCTCGACACCTGGAGTCGCTGGTCGCGGACTGGACTTCACCTGAGCCACTAGGCCAGTGGGCCGGGCTCCATCTTCCTAACACCACCTCACCCCCCCCGACCCGCCGCCCTTTCCTCCTCGTCGGTGGTTGATGATTCCCCCGTCCCCGTCCCCGTCGGCAAGCAGTCGTCTCTTTAAAAAACGCTTGTTCCTGCTCATTACGACTCGCTGCCCTTCCGGGTCCATCCGGGCGCTTCCGGGCCCTCCCGCCGCTGTCCCGCGCAGGACTGCCACAGCGGCAGTACGGCGCTGGTGGCGCTGATGCTGGGGCCCAGTCTGTGGCTGGCCAATGTGGGCGACTGCCGGGCAGTGGTGTGCGACGACGGAGAGGCCAGGTCAGTGAGCTTAGGTTGCGGCGCATGAGGGGACCCACATTTCCTCGTACATACATACAGACAGACAGACAGACAGACAGACATACATACATACATACATACAGACAGACAGTTGCACTGGCACTGGCACATGACATCCACAGCCCCCTCCGAAACCACTGGAGCCAGTCCGGAACGCAGAAGTGCAAATACTGCTTGCTTTGGACAGCCTTCGGCCCTCATGGCCCTTTGGTTCCCCCCATCGCCCTCTTTCGGGGCGCTCGTTATGACACACACACACACATATGCACACATATACACACATATACACACATATACACACATATACACACATATACACACATATACACACATATACACA